TTTTTTTTTTTTTTTTTTTTTTTTTGGTGTGTAACTCTCACCTCCATGTTGATGACCTCTGTAGTTGGTCTTTTCTGTCAACTATTGGCTCCTGCACCTGAAATTTATGTCACTGCCACAGCTCCACCTGAATTTCTTCACATGACTTCCAGGGTGACCTGCCAGGCTAACTCTAACTTCACAACCTAATCTCAGTTAATTATGATTCTGTCTTTCCAGTCTGTGGTCCTAAACCTCAGATTTGTAATTATGTTGGGCACCCATTTCTCATATTCCACTTCAAGTCTTGTTAATATGTCTAAATTAGCTTTACCGTAATACAATTACTCATCATACAATTAGAGAATTTCTCTAATTTTACTACCTAGGCACAAACCACCACTATTTTTGCCCATGTTAAGGCTTTAGGATCTTTACTGTTTCACTTTTACTCCTACACAATTACAGTCCATTCTCTAGTGAGTATCCAGAATTGTCTGGTTAAAATTTATTATAGCATCTCATTCCTCTTGTCAAAAATCCTCCAAAAAAGCCCAAAACTTTCATTTTCATTGTTACCTATAAATGTTGGTGTGATTCGACCTCTATATCTCTAGTCCCTGCCCCTTTTCTCTCTCTGACATCTTATCCTACTGTAACCATCTCCTTCTCTTTCTGCAGCCCCACTACTCCTGACCTTTAAACATGCCCAGCTTATGACTGCTTCAGAATTTGACTTGCTGTTTCTTCTGTCTGAATCTGAGATGGTGACATGACTCATTTCATAATTTCAGATTTTTCCTCAAATGTTATCTTCTGTGTGGGGCCTTCCCTGACTACCTCATGAGTATCTGCTACCCAGGCCCACCCTATAGCATCAGTGAATATGCTTGCAGGTCCCAGGGAGCAGGAGTGTGGACCAGAGCAGTGCAGCTGCAGGCAGATTACAGTCAGGGCTCCACCCCAACCCCAGAATCTTGGTCACACCTGCCCAGCCAAAGGCCCACCCAGAAAAGAGCTTCAGCCAGAGGCCCATCCTATACCACCAATGAGTGCACTAGCAGGTCCCTGGGAGCAGCAGGGTGGCCCAAAGCTGCACAGCTGCAGGGAGATCCCATCCAGGGCCCTGCCCTGACCCCAGGGGCTTGGGCACACAGGCCATGACCAAGGGTCCACCTGAAAAAGAGCTACACATGTGCACAAGCAACAGCCAGAGGCTTGCCCCAATACCATTGATAAGTGCATGAAGACTGTAGCCAGAAGCCTGCTCAGACAAGTGGAACTGGGGTGCACAACCCCCAGAAAAAGGCTCTCCCAGACAATAGTTTCATAGAAGCCTAAGCGAGAGGCACACCTAGATACCATCCAAAGTGTGCACAGGCCAGGAGCCAAAAGCCTGCCCAGACTTCAGGTCAACTCAGGGATGCAGAAGGCCACAATTCTGAACACAAGAATTGGTGTTCCAGTGAGCAGCAGAGAAAAGGTTGCTCTGTGGCTTGTTGAGAATTGAAGATCACTGGGTAAGCAAAAAGTTGCCTCAACAAAGGCACAGCAGGCTGCCTCTGTTGAAATGAGAAGACACGTAAATAAGTCTCAAAACCAGGCTTCCAGATCACCTGAGGCAACCCCAAAGAAAACCAAGATGGAACAATCTGATACTCAACCACCTGGACTCCCTGAACTGGCAACAAAAAAGGATCTGGAAAAAATAAAATAAGAAATAATTTTTCTAACAACAGCAGAGAGTGTACGCATAGCACAAGACACAATTAAAAATCTAGAGTTGACACAGAAAAAAACCATGGTGGAATCCCAACACAGAAAACAAATGGAATCCATAAAAAAGATGCAAACAGATATCCAGGAGATTAAAAACTCCTGGAATGAGCCAATTAAAAACAGAATGAGACAATGCAAGGACAGAATTTCAGATATAGAATATAGGGTTGTAATTATTAACTAGAAAAAGAAAAAAAATTCTTAAAAATAGTAAAGGACCATGAGAAATCAATCCCACAGCTGCTAGACAATGCAAAGAAGAATAATTTAAGATAAGAGCATGGAATGAAGTATTTTAGGCCCTAAAAGAAAATAATGTACAACCCAGGCTGATGTACCCTGCAAAATTATCTTTCAGAATTGACAGAGAAATGAGATACTTTCATGACAAAGAGCACCTTAGGAACTTCATCAATACTAAACCAGCATTCCAAAAATTTTAAACACTATCCTAGGAAAAGACAATGAAGTGGAATGAATCCATCAGGCACTGCAAGAAATTAAATGCAAAGGGGAAGAATCCAATAAAAAGAAAAACTAATGACAAGAAAAATCAATACATATTAGTTATGGCCATCAATGTTAACGGTCTCAATTCAGCAATCAAAAGAAGTAGCCTCGCAGAATGGGTCAGAGGCAAGATCCTACAATATGCTGTATATAAAAACACAATTCAAAAAGAAACTCATAGACTGATAGTTAAAGGGCTGAAAACAATACCCCATGTGACAGGAAACCGAACAA